ATGGAGGAAGCCGGTGTTGTGTGCACAAAATAACCGTTTGCAAGCTCCGCGCCTGGTGTACCCAACAATCGTTCAACTGCATACTCTTTTTCACGCTTTGTCTTCGTCTTTCCACCGGTGGATGGACTACCGCACTCCACTGGAAGGTCACGCCTTAAATAACAATTTCTGTTGGAGTTGCCTACCCATCCTTCCTCCCGGTCTAGCAACGAATTTTGGGTGCCAATATGAACTTTTCATCCAGTTATGTATTTTTACGTCTCTGTTCAGTTTCTTCATGATTTAAAAACGCATACACAGACGCAATAGTGCGTACTCTGATTCTTGGAATTGGGCACTAACGTGTTTTCGCATACTAACAAGCAACGACGCCGACTAACGGTTTTCTCAAAAAGTTAAATCCCCTAAGAATGCCACTATAGTCCTTTCTGAAGACTACCTCGACGAAGGCTGACTGAGACCCTATCCAGGGCTTGTTCATCTTGATAGCAACTCGTCTATTCGGCGTGGCGGATTCATGGTCATCAGCTTTTTTTGGAATTTGTTTAAAATAAGGAATAATATAACATGGCCCTCTAAACCGGGAACTGGAATAGCGACCATGCGCCCAAGTAAGGATGTTGCCTCTGCCAACATAGACGTAGACTTAGTCTACCAACGGTTCAACCGTCGTTTTCGACAATGTGCACCATGAGCGTCAGCAAGCTGAGGGCAAACGCGATGACTGAAGCTGGATTATACTGAAAGTAGACTGGTGGAGAATCTACCCCACTCCCACCAAGGGACCCGGTGTCAAGACAAAAGTCAAGAAGGCCGCAGATGGGGGAGGGCGCATACGGCTGGCGCGACCAACACTCAACACGCATACCAATACCACGTCTCGCTAGCCACATTAAAAAGGAGCCATTAAGTCTGACTCTCAGCCCGCGGACAGCCACTCTACACAACAAGACACACAGTGGGCTGACTGCGGTGTCTAAGTTATCTCGTCAGTTGGCAACCCTCCAATCCGCGGCTTTTAGTGCACCGCGATAGTTTCAAACGCATCAGATTGATTATAGGGAGGAAAGAAACGCCCTGAGTGTCGACCTAACTCTCTCCCTCCCACCGCCAACAGCAGGCCACCACCTAGCTGACCGGTCACCTGAGGTGGAGCCGATCTACCACTGCCCCCAACACAAACTGAAAACACATCCCTGATTTTTATCCTTATTTTAACCTACATTCCAAAACACCGCTAACATGAATCACAACTCTAACCCTACTCTGAACTAATAGTAAGCATAACCCTGAACCCGAACCTAACCCTAAGGTACTTGGAATTTTTCGCATACCCGCCTGTAGGGCGGACGGTTCCTGTTCGCGCGTCCTGTCCAGGAGGCCCATGTTAGTAATCTCTACCAGAGTTGCCAGTAAAAACTGTAAAAGAACAGCTAAGAGGCATAGTTGAATTAAATTCCTCACAAAATGTCACAATTAAATGGGTGTATATGTATGAAGGCGTCATGTCTTGTTGTCCTGAGGGGAGTCGCAGACGTCACGCACTTTCACCTGATACCTCTCATTGCAGATCAAAGCAACGCAAAAAAGAGAGTTTCCTATCCAGAAACGAACCATAACAACAGACCATTCTTTATTCGTTATCAGTTCCCAATTGGGCTTCCGTATAGGCGCAGTTTAACCAATCTGTGTGCTCGATCAATACTCAACCGCCTTAACAGCCCGGCTTCCTTCATTAAATGTGAGCTCTTCCTCTCCTAGCGCGCCATGCGATTACTGGAATGTATAAGGCAAACGCGGTGCAGTCTCCTATCGCTACCGCACTTGAGGTGCGGACTCATACCGCCCCCATTTATCACCAGAACCTCATTGGTTGAACTGCATTCTATATCCCCGTGTGTATTTGAGGTCGGGTGAACTGTAGTTAGAACGCTTAGTCCCTTTGATCCACGCAGTGTCGACAGCACCCTCTGCCTGCCGCTACTCTTACAGTCCTCAATCGACAGCCAGTCTTAAACCGCCACCGATTCGGAGAATACTTTGAGATCCAGAGCCAGCGTGAATGCGACCATATCCACAACCATCGCGCCAAACGACAGCCTTGTTTCCCGCTCTCAGGAACATCGACCAGAAAGCAACCAGCAATCCCTCCACTGACCCCTGCTGCTACCCAAGCCGAGATGGGATCACACCACTCCACTCACAAGAGACACTGGCGTAAGAAATCGTCAGCGCCAGCGGCCTCTCAGCCAGCACCACAACCTAATACCCAAAACAATGGGATAGAAACCGCAAATGAGACAAATCCGCTGCCGACCCCCTCGGCAGTACCACCGTCACAGGAAGAAACGAAGAAGACGCAGAAGGACGAGAGTGATAGCAGCGATGAGGACAGTGATAGTGACTCGAGCGACAGTGACTCCAGCGATAGTGATGATGACAGTGACAGTGACTCTAGCGACAGTGACTCTAGCGACGACAGTGAGGAAAGCAGCAGTGAGGAAAGCAGCAGTGAGGAAAGCAGCAGTGAGGAAAGTGAAAAGAAGGGCAACGATAAAAAAGGTCAAGAAAAGGCAACAAAAGCAAAGGCGGAGTCGAAGAAGTGATTTATGTCCCCTTTTTTCTTCCCCTGCCTCCCCCCACACGTCCTTTTACTGAAACTCGCTGACCTACCGAAGTTTCTCCTGACTTATTTTTTAAGCTTTTGAAATTGTTATGTCTACATTTTAAGTTTATCTTGACATTTTCAGTATTTTTTAGTTTATTTTAAGCAAAAAGTTACTGTATTATAGTCAAATTTGCCTATTCAGAGTTGGGCAACCTGGTAGGGAGTAGTCCGCCTGAAATTGACTGTCCATCGCCGCATTTGATGGCCTGTATGCTCAAAGTTGATTTGGTACCCTTACATTCTGGTGTTTCTACCTATGGGCTCTGAACTGAAATTTGCACATTTTCATGCACCATTATTATACGTCCTATAGTCTTCATAAATGTTCCTTACATCATCCCCGGAAGAGGAAGAAGAGGAGACGATTTCTGAGA